CTGTTGGGGTGAGGGATACCAAGTGCCGCAAATTGCGGAATATGATCCAATCAGACCAGAGAAAGGGTCAGAGGGAATTTACTTGTTTAAGGTCACGGATGAGAGGGACAATATGATGTGAGACGATGGAGCAATCGCACTGTATAGAAAGGTTGTTTATCTCCGGACGCTTCCAAATCTGTTTCCAACTACACCAACAATCTTATTCCAGGTATGCATCTTTTATGCCACACTTCCAAATGCGAAAAACCCAAATTACCAAGTGGGTTAGCTATGCATGCGATCATGCTGTACGCCCAAAACAGTCCTACATCGCTGGCCGAATCTGACTTCTCGCGATGGCTCTGTGAAAGCCAGAAACAAATGTTGGACTACTACACAGAAAACCAAGGAAAACTTGGTCTCGTCCGCCACTGGTAGCCAAACATTTTCGTCCCTTACCAAAGTAATTTCTGCCCTTGCAACTTCCCATTATCTGTAATTCTTGTGGTGATCTTATATGTCAACTACAAGAGGAAGCTGATTTTTTCCCTCCAGCTTTTCGCCAATCCGGCCTTACCCGACTATCCCACACCTCCACTTTCTTCATATTCTACTGAAAACCCCTGTATTTCAAACAGCACTAGGAAGACCTATCAAATACTGTGCTCTCTAAACAAAAGCAAACCACCCGGTTCGAATGGGATTCCACTCACTGTCCTGAAAATATGTTCTCCTGTTTTCTGTCGTCTCTTTAGGTTTTACCTGCAACTTCCTAATTTTTGGACTCCTTTAAAACACGCCTTGAAATTTTTTTCATTTCCAAACATGGCAACCTTTCTGATCCCAATAATTACCAACCCATTTCCATCACATCTATTCTTTCGGAAGCATTTGAAACCATCATCTCCAACCAACTACGCATGTTCCTCGAGAGGACTAATGAGCGATCATCGATATGGCCCCCGGCAGCGTTGTCCCACCGGTGACCTGCTGGCTGTTGTTTCACAGTCCTAGTTTGCTGAACAAATCCCCTCCCGGGGAAATGTGAACCACGTTTCATTCACTGCTTTTAAAACCTCCCTTCTTTCAATTTCTTTAAAGCACCAATCATTGTCCCCCTCCTAATTCTCTTGACTCCACACTATAACGTCCCACAGACTCTGCTTCCCTTCTTGGGTTGCCTGTAACTTCTTCTTCATGCTGTTCCCTTTTATATCTCAGCTCGCTCCTCGTACTGCGCGCAAAGTTGTTTTATTTTTATTACACGCCGGACGACTAGCTCCAACTAATCGTGTTCCACTCTACAAAGTCCAAATCAACCCTGTTCTCGAATTTTGTACTCATGTGTTAGAAGACGTTTCGTCTTTTGTTCTTTCCATTTTGGACCGTGTTCGGCGAAAAGCCATCCGGTTGATCGATGATCATTCTCGAACTGAAAGTGTGTAGTTACTAGCCCATTGTCGGTTAATTGCTTCATTGTCCCTGCTTTACCGTCACTACTTTGCTTTTTGTTCTTCGGTAGTTCTTCTTCATGTAATTTCACCCGTTCACCCCATCCTTATCAGCTTTAGGTTCCCAGATATCGTACTTCTCCTATCCAACCTTGTTCTCTGATCTGCCAAGTTGTGGAACACCCTTTCAATTTCTATCTTTCCCCATCTTACAACCTAACGCAGAGTCAATAAACTGGATCTTACGAGAATGTTTTCCTATTCTCCATTTTACAATACGCTTGTTGTCCATGGGGATCTCCCTATTTACTGTAACTCTCATAATTTTCAATAAAAATAAGGAGATTCTAATTACCTCGCGGTTGTATCTCGTTCAATCCTATTTATGCATCTATTTGGAGAAAAAACAAGTAACACGGAGAAAATTCGGTCCCCTAAATCTCGTATCAGTGTCATATCTCTCTCAGTAATCAATAGTTAATGAAACAGCAGTCACACTGAGCTAGTCACACAATTTGAATATCGGAAGTCTAATGCTCATTTGCCAAAGCCAGTAGTTGGGTTTTCCAAGTACATGGGAGCAACTGGGAATACAAACCAATGGTATAGCAGACGTTATGCGAGATAATTCTCTTCATCTGTAAGTGATTAAAAATGCTCGACAATTTGATTGACTCCCTTTCATTCCACCCATAAAATAACCTCTGAACCTGCTGGGGGCTGTAAATTAGATTTATCAAAGGATCCTCTATTTTACTGTCACCTTTAATGATATGAAAGTTCAACCTCAGGTATGAATTTCAATTGGTAATAAAATACTATTGCTCGTATAGACAACTTGAATACCTATGTGTGTGTGGATTCTTTTTAATGTGAGAAAAAAGACTTCTGATCAGTTTGAAGGAATGTATACAATAAGCCACGATAGTTAAAGAATGTATACACATCGAGCATTAGTATCAGTTAAAAATTTATGGTTTAACGAAAATCCGGGTTTCCATTTTGAAAATGATACTAAGCTTAGAAATTTTTAAAAAGTTCATCATTTTTCGCCACTTTAACGATTACTTTTCCCTTGATCTCGTTCTAGACCGATTAGTGTCATGCAGGTGTAGTACACACGGCAGCCGGTTTGCCCGCATTCTCTTCGTCGATATCCTGCTCCGTTTGATCCAGTTCTAACCACTTGGCTTTTGTCCGACCGGTCACTCGTGCACTGATCCGACTCGCCAAAGCAACAACTGCACACTTGAATAATCGTATTTCTGAGGCGCTGAAATCTGACTCGTACAACCACTGAAACAATTTAAAAACTCGCCTCGGGCGAAACCAAGAAAGTAGTTCGATAAATCCATGGGTTCGGTAAATTTTGTGCGACTGAGGATGTTTACAAGTGAGCCAATCAATTAGGAACAGAGTACGAATAATGTCTTCCAAATGTGTTCGTATCACGCAGAGGTCTTGAGCAGTTGAGTTGCCGGACTGCATGTAACAAAGGGATTGCAATTTGGCGGACGCATGGGAGGATAGTCGACTGAGCATAATTGGATCGTGACTTTCGGATAGAGTACAGGATTTGTCAAATATGGAACGAATCCACAAATATTTTGGTTCGCTTTGCGACGGTCCCAATGCCGAACCGGTTATGACCAGTATTTCGAACAGTATACATGCCACTTCGGAATGTATGTCACTGATAAGTTGATAGAATAAAGGACAGCAGCAAACTGGTCCAGCTCGGTCAGTGTGCTAGTTAGTTCACAGAAATGAATAAGAAACGCATTCACAAATGATCAGATCAACCATATAAAAAAATGCAAACTTAATTTTAAACAAATATGAAATGTGTTTAAAATAATTTGTTTTAAATCACAGAGTTCCGATTGTCATGCATCGGAGATGATTGACTTTGACGTTTCGGTGCGAAAGAGCACCTATAGCGATCCCTTGGATGAAATACAAGAAAATGAAAAGGTGCATAGCTCTAAACAGCTTTCTAGACAGAAAAACGTTTACCCTGGGCAGGAACAGATGTCTTTTGAAAAAAATGGAATTTTGTTTACCTTATCGACGAAAATAACTTTAGTCTATAGATGGACCCGATGCATAATATGCGGAAAGACGAGCAATGGTTCGGTAAGCGAATTAACTATCAAAACTCCGTGATAGTACGGGGTGCCTTCTCTAGCAATGACCAAACCGAACTCTCCATACTACGTTGAGCATATGACTTTACATTGTTGCGGTTCATTATACCAGCAATGCAATCGAATGAACATCCTACAGTTGATTTTCAACGGCCCAATTCATAATTCGCATCTAACAGAGTGCTGCTTTTTATTTCACGGCATCAATGCATTACTGTGGCCTGTGTGCAGCCCAGATTTCAACCCAATAGGAAACATTCGGTCTATTCTAACCCGAAAGGTGTACCAACGCTCCAGCGTTTATCGTACACAGATCGAATAAGAGTCATCTTTGATTAGTGAGTGGGATAATATCGATACAGACATGATTCTAAATCGAGCAGAGAGTATGCTGATGTCTGTGGAAGTTCTGAGACGGAATGGCCGATGCGTCCGGTACTAAACTGACTTCAATGAACGATTTTTTGGATGGGGTGCAGCACTTTTGTCGCGACCGAAATTCTGTTTTCTTCGTTATGTCTTCGTTAAAATAAGAGATAATTTGATAAAATTTCGTATTTTCAAAAATGTTGATGATCATGCATGTGTGAGCAGAGATAATCAAAACAATCTAGGGCTGGGTGAGTGTAATACTTTTGTCGTGGGGTGTACATCAATCTGCATTGTGAGTGCTCAGTCATTTGACACTGCCTGTCAATTATATAATTGTGCTACACTAGCGAATATGGGGCTTCGTAATTCCGCGAAAGAACAGGGTAAAATGTTTTCCTATGTCTGAATATCTTCCGTTTCCCCTTTATTCTGTAGAAACAGTGTGGCACACGAGGCAAAGCTATATATGCCACTGGTATGGTCTCAGTTTGGTGCTATATGTTCATAAATATCTGTGGTTTTAGAATAAGCAAATCCTGATACAATTGCTTAAGAACAGCAAGTGAACATACGTGTAGGGGTAAGGACGAAACAAGCGTATTCCCTGTCTTACCTAATTGTTAAGCGAAGTAGTCGAATCTGTGTGTACATTTATTCTTGGGCATACCTTACTTCAAGTTCATTTAAATTCGTTCATTATATAAATCTACTAACATGCACCGCTAGGCCGATCAGCTGCACACCGTTCTTCCTGCTCAGTTTCGTGCATCAGAGTGGATTATAAGCAATCTGGGGAATGAAGTACTTCGAACAGCGTCAATCGCAATGGATGATTTATTGTGTTCCGTTGCCTTTTTTGCGACTTCATGCTGATTCGGAAAAAACAGTGATGTGCGAATACGGGCAGTCCATAAATATTTCGTATCCCGAAACACGAGCGTTTTGTTTCGAGAACACTAAAAATGGCTGTAACCGCTTTGGATGAAATCGATAACACAACTATTGGAATGTAGTCTCGTTTCGTCATCGGTAAACAAGTTATATAAGTGATCTGGGAAAGGTGAAACGGGTACTGTAAAATTGACCTAGTCTTATTGTACTTTCAAGGCCATCCTCATATCTAAGGGCAGAAATCATTGGAAATACCAATGAATAAAGAATGAGGACACGGCATGAGGGCCTGCGACGAACAAAAGAACGGTGAGAATAAAATAATGGTCTGGATCAATCCTTATCACTTACTAAACAAAGAGCATTTCCACCGATCGATCTACAGAAACTATGGCACAAAATTATTTTGTTTATGTGCAGTTTTTATGCAAAACCCGTTAAAGCTGTTTGCAGAAATCGTCTGTTCTTTATGTGTCCCCAGTATCATTTGTTGTGTGCGAGCAATATCAATAAAAATATAATTTGAGCAAATGTTATAACATGTTCTTGGATTTTAGACACGTTCTTTATTCACTTCAGAGTAAAAGATTCAACTGCACTTTTGAACAGTGAAGTTTTGCATGACATTTCAGATCGGAACTGGTCAGATTCGATCAGAGAAGTAATCGTCTTGTAGTACTGGATTTTGCAATCTATATTTTCCGCTATCGACATCCCTATGGAATCACGACACTTTTGAACTGTCGAAATTGAAACAACCTTCCCCTGGTATGAACTGGAATGAAGAACACATCAGAGTATTGGACTACGTGTTTCCGGGAAAATTTCGCTGTATCTCTTCAGGAACGTACTACAGTCGAGAACATGTAATGAAAACTAACAATTAACAGTTATCGTGGGTGAGCTGTTGGTGCTAAACTCGTCCACCTTTCAACCACGGCAGAGCGAGAGTTACAGATAACTTTTTCTGATTGCATAGTTCATGTTTGCGTCGTTTCATACCACTCACCTTTGCATACAGGGGCAACCGAGTGTTTTTCTCAATGAGGACACTTTTGAATGCTGCGGTCACGTTCACCTGATATTCAGTCTTTAATGCCGCATTGAAAACGACAGGAGGAAACTGGAAAGACTAGTCAGTACACACAATCGAATCAGCTCTCTGCTCAATGAACCGAACCGCATCAGTCAAATCTAACTGATCAATTCCCGTAAAACTTCTGAGTAAACAAAATTGACGTTACGCCTGAGTTCGAGACCTCGCTAAATCATTCAGAGATCGAGACAACGTGTCCAGACCACCCAGAGCGGTACATCACAAATTTGTCTTTCCTCTAATTAAATCGGGAACAAATGGAGACACTGTCATGTGAAATAAAACTCTGCGTTCCATCAAGGAAGAGGAACGTAATTGAAACAGGTTCGCTTTGAATCATTCATGTATCAGTTATCAAAATGGCAACCAACATTAAGCAATGCATATACCTGGCTGAAAGCAAAGCTCGTAGCCTGAAACATCAATACAGTTGCTCGCCTTCAAGACAGAGTTGATCAGGAGCTAAATATAGAAACTTCACGAACTCAAAGGGAACGAAAACTTGATAGTGTTGCAGGCAAATAAACGGTTACATGTAATTGTGCTGAACAGAAATGATTAAATCCCGAAAATGGAAAGTATCCAGCAAGACTAAATGAAATTTCAGGAATATGAAAAAGGAGACAATATAAACGCCATAGAACAAGCTGTTTCACACGAGACACAATCCCATTCCCATTATCAGAATTGGATTGGTTAATTCTACTTCCACAGAGAACATGCTTCGATGTTAGGGGAAGATAGCTTCGCCAGGTCGATGATGTAGCCATTAGTAAGCCCCTTTGCGTCCAATTGTGGCAGATATTTATGGCAAACCTATAGAGAAAATTCGGCGGTAGCCCCACCGGAAATCGTCTGTACAAATGGACGATGTGTTGCTCATTGCAGACTCTAAGACTTATTCCAAATCTTGAAAAACACTCACTCGAGCCTAAAGTTGACCATGGAACATGATGAAAATGATTCCTTGTTCTTCCTGAATGTAAACATGCAACGGAGGACCGACGAAAGCCCTGGTCGATCTCTTCACCGAAACCACACATGGACGGGTCAATATCTGCACTTCACCAGCTTCGTCACCACCCGTTAAAAACGAGGGCTAGTGAGGACACGAGCGTGAAGGAAAAATCTGCGCGCCTGATAACCTCACAGACGAAATGCTAAAACTGAATAGCACTCAACAGAACAATGTTTACCCGAGTTGGCTCGTGAAAAAGTATGGCATTGCACGTCCGAAAGTAAAATGACCGATATCCGTACCAAAGTGAACTTTTGTTATACAACTACCGTTCAATGGTGATGATGTGAGTAACATTTCAGGACACTTAGCTCGTCCGAACCTTCAACACAGACTAACCAGTTTTCATCTACACATGCGACAGAATACGGGCTACCCACTCAAGCAACCGCTTTCGCAGTATGCCCATTCTCATCAATTTATCAATTCGTCTATGGTGCTCGGCCACCGATCTAGGTAGAATTGAGTGGCTGATCAGACAAAAAGTAGCCGCACATATCCCTGCGTGGGTTAATAAAATGGCGGACGAATCACAACCGAAGGTCAAGGTTCAACCCAACGCTGCACACCAGCGTCATGGATCTGTCGTCACCTGTTAGAAACTGGACATCGATTGAACGTGACCGCAGCATTCAAAAGTGTTCTCATTGAGAAAAACACTCGGTTGCCCTTGTATGCAAAGGTGAGTGGTATGAAACGACGCAAACATGAACTATGCAATCAGAAAAAGTTATCTGTAACTCTCGCTCTGCCGTGGTTGAAAGGTGGACGAGTTTAGCACCAACAGCTCACCCACGATAACTGTTAATTGTTAGTTTTCATTACATGTTCTCGACTGTAGTACGTTCCTGAAGAGAGAAATTTTCCCGGAAATAAATTGTGCAACACCGTGCTAAGTTTGGTATGGTCATATGTGATCTGAGAGAATTTCAACTCAACTAATATAGTCAGCAGGTTTGGATGCTTCGTATTCCTACAAGCCTTGTGATTAACATATTTTTGTAAATATTCACATCTGGCAATCTTTCTTCGTTAAGAAGTGAAAATATTCTAGAATTTTCTCTTCTTTTGGGTTTTATCAGTCATGAGTCTTAATTTTCTGAGCTCCTTTACTTATCTGTCTCGAAAGGAAATTGTCCGAACAGTTAATACCTGATCGTGCATAAATGCTGCTTTGAGTTTTACAGAATCAAGCCATTCATTGCTGTATATTTCGAAATGCGCCTCTTTTGTGGTGAGTTGATTTAACTTGTTTCTCGCAAAAGGATGCATTCGTAGATTTGAACCTCGATTCAAGTTCAGCAGCATGGGCAAGTCCAGTAACCGAAGTATCAGAATATTTTTGTTCAACTCCTTTAGTAATCAGTGTTCAAGTTTGAAATATTCTATGAATTCACTTGACCACGAAATATCACAAAGTAATGTGTGCTTGATAACATCGAATCATATAACCAGTAACGCGAGGAAAAAAATATGCGCCATATGCCAAAATCAAATAACTGAGAGGTGAGCTAATTCTTCAGAGAGTATGACATACTTTTTCCCAATGATTTGTTGCAAATATAACACTGTCCATTTCGGTGTACAGACATCGATCAATGGTGCCACTATCCGGGTAGCACCGTGGAAAAACTCCATGTCCAAAGTGACAAGGTAACAGCGGTGGATAAAGCAGAATCGGGATTAATCGGTCCATCATCTTCTGCCATTTTATTTCCCAATACCATGCGGACAAGGGGAAGTTGGGTTTGTCTGAAAGACTCTCAGACTTTGCAGGACTGTAAAGCTCAATAAACAAACGTATTGTGCGTAAGATAATCAAAATCAGTTCGAGTTCGGCCACACGCCACCGGGCCAGCTGGTCCAAAACGTCCTGTTCTATCGTCCACATGTATTCCATGACTTCGATTATTCCATGACCATGCAGAAAATATGCCAACTAAAGGAGAGAGTCAACGTGGAGCGATAGAAGTTTAGTTGGCCAAATCAATAGAGGTAACGCATAACAAGTGCTTTTCATTTTAACATCGTTTATAATTTTCAACTTACACCGGTCAGAAGTTAGTTTTCTCACACGGACTTCAAACTAAGAGCGTTTATGTTGTTCAATTATGTCACTTGCAACGCAAAAATATTTTTAGAATCCCAATTCCAGATGGTGAACTTTAAGGAGTCTAAATTGAAAATTGTGTATCCTGGTCACCTAGGACCCTGGGGCGGATATGTCATGCTTTTTAGGACTCATCAGTTGGGCATACCACATGTCCATGTTGGAAATGGTATGAAGAAGCTAAACGAATGCAGACAAATAATATTCATGTAATAGGTTGTGTACCGCATTGTTTTCTTTTCTAAGATATCTATTAATCTACTTGTTGTCCATATCAGCTTAAAATTGACTGCTTATGACTCAAACTATTTGATGTCCACAAAAGATGTCGATTGCATTACAAAAAGTATGCATGCATGGATTGTACCTGATTGCATCTTCTACAATTATGAACTCATTTTATGTAAATATTATTCCGTCATGTGGGAAAATATTCATGGTTTAGTGCAATCACTTGATGATTGCATAAAACCAAGATATTCACGATGTCTAACCAGTTTAACAAGTAGGTAATTAGCATCTGTCGGTGCACTTAACATTAACCGCCAGTGATTTATGAGTGGTGTCGTTCAGTGTAGTACCTAGACCAGAATATTTCATCTCGTATGCCCAGCATAGTTTGGACACAGGTCTTTATACATTTTCCACTCTAATCATTTTCAGTCTCCTATAAAGCGTTTTCCCCCTCCAGGTTAGCACTGTTTGGTATTCAACACCCTCAGGTTACATGCAGTACCATTGAATCACTTCATACTGATCATTTGCACGCACACAGGGATCTAGAAAGAAGCTAAAGCGTTGTTATCTTGACATACATTTCAGTGCATAATCATTGGCGTCCCAGTTTCAATCGATCGAAGTTTTCGAACCAACTGTCTATCGCGTTTCGTTTACTCGATCACCCATGGTCAATGCAAAACACACAAAACTTTCAAGATGATCGTGAAAGAAACATCTCTGCTGTTTCAGTCTCATTGATCCAACGCAGAAATGTGTCACATGTATCAAAATAAGTATCCATTGTAATGGGCGACAAAGAGCATTAGGCAGCTGGTTTGACCCACCTTGGACTCCTCAGTACTCTCTACTGTGTCCCCGCAACACGATCAGGAGCGGAAAANTGTACTGGATAGAGTGATCAAAAAGTTTGGTCATACTTCCTTAATCGTATAGTGTTGAAGGTGCCACATGTATAAAAACAAAAGTTTACAGTATTGTATTTAAAATATAGAGTGAAGGAAGCTTACAGAAAAAAACGCGGAAATAGTGAATGTGTCTAATTCTTTGAAGTACAGTGTGAACCCACTGACCCAACTGAGAACCTCAAACATAGACCGCGAGTATGTTATCCATTTGCCCACCAGGCAAGTAATCTGACTGATACTGCTGCTAACCCATTTATAAAACCTTCACGGAAGCAACTGAATTCGCTCATATCAGGCAGGAGTAGCCACTGGGGCAATGTAACACATTGGAAACATTTCGGTCCTGGCTACGTTGTATCAGAGAATACCAGAACTTAAAAAGTTTGTTTTATTCGTATTAGTTTTTATCTTTAAATGCACTGTTGTGCTGCTTGCTCTGACTAATATATTTATGCACAACACTATTTACTACGAACTACCCGCCAGCCATTCCTCACGATCTGCTACTCCAGTGCCTTTCACATATTGTTATTCACGAATGACCTTGTTAAATAGTTCAAAGATACCTTTCTAAACAGATACATGAAGCTGAAATAGGGTGGAATGAATATTAACTCATCTATTACTCAAATAATTAAGGTTTACAAACCAAATTCACTATCACAACTTTCAGATTTTCCGGAATACTAAGTTTATTAAATGACCACGACCACGGGATAATTTACTTTCCTCTGTGAGAAGATATTCCACGGCTGGTAGATACAGGACTCCATCAATGGCTCCCACATCACTGCTGATTCTCATCCGCTTGTTTAAATCCGTCAAGTGATTGCATATTTTGGTCATGAGATCCGCAGGTGGATCAGGACACGGGAATCCGAGGATGTGTAGCTCGGACAAGGTTTGCCCGGCTGTACCGATCCAATCATTAATCCACTCGGTCATCACATCTGTATTGCTTTGTGCATCACACAACTGGCGAGTAGAAGAAGAAGAAGGGTGAACAGACAGAATACGTGGATGTCCAGTTGCGGGTGTGAAGAACGGCATAAGCTGCACCAGATCTTCATCTTGGGCCATAAAAGCCAATATTACCGACTTTCTTCTGGATGTATTTGTACCACGGGCAGTGTTGACACGCGTTGTTTCATGCGACAGCGCTGAGTTAGCCTGAGTCCCAGGAAAATCTAGGAGTTGTTTGAGCATGAACTTAAAACCATAATTCTGTTCGCGATACGCTCGAACCACTTCATGAAGTATCCGGAATACAATCAAACTGCGATCTTTCAGATAGAAATCCAATCGCTTAGCTACCTTCACTGGTGCTAATAAAGACTGATTTAATTCTGAGCTGCTGGGGAAATGTAGAATAGGCAAAAGAAACAATTGAAAACAGAAACAAAGCACATCAATTTGTACCAGACCTGTGAATCATTGGAACAACGGATCAAACAATTAAATATTCCGGTAAATAGGCAGCTATTTGATCACGTAAAACACTAAGAAAACACGGGATTTCCAATTTGCTTGTACACTCGGTCTATCGTAAAAGTCTACATTTCGTCTCTTTTCAGGTCAAGACATGTTAGCGTCAAAAGGTTCGTTAATTTTCCCTGCGTGCTTAGTACTGGGTCACTTGACTTGAGTAAGAATCATTGAAATAAGCATGTTCCAAAAATAATGCCAGAGGTGATAAACGGGGTTTGGAAGAGATAAAATATTTTCTACTTGTTCACTCAGAAATTACCTCCATATTTTTTCACAACGGGTAAAAACATCAAAAATAGTTGTTGAAGACAAAGGTGTTAATTCTTTCTCAATGTGTGAAACAGATCACCTCTTTTCGAAAAATAAAATAGCCTTTAAACATGATGACTTTCTACTACTGATGTATGCTTTAAGAATTAATGACTCATTCAACCTTATGTCATCTATTAGTGTATCTTGCCTCTGAATCTTGCTCACTTTGGACTAATCACAATGAAGCATCTTTGATCTGCACCTCTAAATAAAGAATAAAGATAATTCAAGTAAGCACCGATAGTGAGATAACCGGAATGCAAAACATCAGGACCACAATATTCATGGGGAAATATTTTTGTGTGCAAATCCTGGCCGTATCAACAAACACTTTGCTAACACAGCTATAACATGGCGTTTATCACCGGTAAATAGTGCAACCGGTTACAAGTAAATCTTGCTTATGAGAATAGTTAGATTGAAGCCCAGTGAAATCTGGTGAAATAAGGATAGAAGACCTCCGTAATTACCATACATGATCACTTTCATGGAAGACTCATTATACTTAGTGTCTACTAGTTGAATGTAAATAATTCATTAGCATGTTTCACAAATCTCCGATCGTGTTAAGCAATCGTGTAGTTGAGTCCATTTTTTGGGTAAGCAGCGGGATCAGATTTCACTGAAAAATCCCCATTGTTATCAAGAAATACATAAGTGATGTTCACCGTTTGATTTGGCGATTTTCATTGCCCATTTCCAACTAACTAATTAGCGCCTATCGCATTTGCACTATGAAAAAACTCCAGTCATTCCAAAATGCTACTATCTAAGAATCTCATACTATATACTATACGATGAAAACCATTTATTGAGCTTTTCGCTTACGCCAAAATCTTTTCTCTATTCTTTTTGCTCCCATGTTTGTTCACATTCTTTCCTTCATTTCGGAGTTTCTCCTACAAAAGATAGCAAATTAAAATAGCACTTTATTGTATTACTTGTTAAATTGCTATAAACTTACAATTCACTACTTTTATTCAGTTCTACTTTTCCCTGATAATTATAGAGACTGTATGTTTTCATGATGTCCTCTCTCTCTATCCCTGCAAGACTTACGCCAACAAGATAGTAGAAGTGGTCTTTGATCTCAATTCGGTGAATAACTCCTGTTTTCGGTTTTCTGTAGTTGTGGTTAATCCAAACGTTCCTATACGGATTTAACAAGGTGAGCTAGATGCACAAATTCACCAAAGACATCCGTTCCAAATTTACACCTCATACCGTCAGTGACTAGAATATATATCACTAGTAGAACCAGATGTCTTTTCGCATTTATTTTGAACAGATGACGGCACTGGATATAGACACATAAACTGTAATACGTCTGACTGACTGACATACTTCAACACGTGCAGGAAACGGCAAAGAAAAGCCAATGCATTTTACATCGAACCAAGGCTACTAACAAGCTGAACTTGAGATTCTCATTCTAATATGCCTAGTGTCATGAAAACGATTTCCTTGGGTCTGAGGAAATCGATCGTTTTATTGAAATTTAACGGTATTTGCACAAAAATGATGAGATACTCAATTTATGGACCACCGGAGCCATGGCGGTTAACGATGATTAGATTCAGTCTAATCAGGTTGCTGCAAATTTATTCTTGTAATTCGAGTTGACTGAATTCATTCTCATGTGTTTACCGAGATAGAGAATTTTTTTGCAAAAGGTTTATCACCAGCCAGAGTGACAGCTTTGGTGCTTTAGGTATGCCCATACCAGTTGATCAGTTAGGGGATAATAACCCCACCCCCCCCCCCCCCCAATCGCTAAATGAAAATCTTCACAGAGCTGCATAGATCATTTTTAGCCATTGAATCACTTAAACTCCTATCAGAGATCACGTTGAATCGTAAACATTAAACGATTCAACGATTCTAAAGGGAATACTCAACTTTATTGTACCTTTCTGATAGATGAGATGACATTCTTCGTGTACTGACGCAGAAATACCACTTCATTCGAGGAAAATGGCATACAATCAATAATCGATTACTTATTTGATATTTTCACTAATAAACTCGAAATTTGAAAGACTGCTAGTTATGTGTAGTGAACTGATTCATATTCGGGTCTATTTTGTTCTATCTGAAGTGACACGTTCTGGAAAGACGGAAAGGAGCAAATAAAAATCAAAACAAATCAATAGCGTTTGTGTTTAACTGCGAAAACCCCGCCATTTGCTAATAAAGTAAATTTAATAAAGATTTGGTCATGTTTTACTGGCGATCCTCCCCTACAAACACAATTGATGTTTTTAATGAATAACTTGTAACAACAACTTTAGAGAAATCAAAGATTTCGGTTGCTTGACGAACAAATAGTATTTTATTATTATTAACCCTTTGTCTTCTTTTCTCGATCAAACACACACACGAGCTTTCAAAACGGAAAGACAGTAAATTCCAAAATTATTAGGGGAAATAATGAACTTGAAATTTAAGCATGAAACTTAAAAGCGAAACTTTCATGTCACAGCAACCGCCACCGCTGTGTGCAAATTAAAATGAATGTGAAACTCTATTGCATGAAACTGATGATCTAATTTTCAACATTAAAGACAAGAAAGCTG